AGTTCTTGTTCTCACTTCCTGTGGATTCTCAGCCCTTCTGGCTCCTCTACCCTTTACCCTTCCTTGATGGAACCATTGCCATCCTGCCAATTTTCAGCCAGGCTGTTCTCCCAGCTGCCATGGGTGCCACTTTGGTCACAAGCTTTAAGTAATCTCTTCACACACCTCCAGGGGTCCCTGTGCTTCAGGCTCTCAAAATGGCTCCAGGGTCAGCAGCCTGGCACCACCTGGGCCCTTCCAGTTGTCCCTACCCTCAGTATCCACATGGTATGTCCTAGAGTCTGAAAACTGCCAGATGTTTATTGAGGTTCCCCTGCCCCAGCTCTTGACTTTGTGCCCCTTATCCACACTCATCAGGCTTCTATGAACACACTAAGAACCTGCACTGCCTCCATTAGAGGTAGAGTGCTTCCTCAGAGTAGCTTAGGGTCTCCACTGGCTGGCTCTCTGATCCTTTACGGGTAACTCTGCCATGCTCCTCCCCTGAGACTGTGCCCCAGAACCCGCCTCCTCCTGCTTGCTGCAGCCTCTGAAAGATTAGCTGCAGAAACACTGACTGCCTGGGTGATCTTGCCTGTCTTGGAGCCCAGAAGATCATGATTAACCTAACAACTACCCTGTTCTCCAGAATCCCTCCAGAGCCCCACAGCAATCCCTGAGTTCATCTGCTTCCTGAGCACTTCCAGCTGGAGGTATGAAGCATTTTAACCTAACTCCATCCCCCTGTCCTGTGTCATCATGACCCTGCCTCCCCTGAAAGTTCCAGCAGACCTTCATGATGGCCAACAGGTATCCTCTCTGTCACAGGACCATTAATTTTATGTAAGAGTCTCAGGAGTCTCAGGTTGCCCAACAGCTGGCTTTCACACTGTTCTGGGAGTGTCTGAGGGTGTTTCTGGATGAAACAACTATTCACTCAGCTGGCCTCATGAAGGAAAAGCCTCTGAGGCTGGGAGAGGGAGCTCATGGGTTCCATCCAGGGCCTGCAGGGAATGCAAGGTGCACAAGTGCAAGCTTGCTCCTTGTAGGACCCTGAGCCCCTCCTCAGAGCCCCTACTAATTGCCATCATAGCTTACTGCTTTAAACATGCCCTGACCCTCCCCCCCTTGCTGCTCACTCCTCCTCCCCTCTAAGAAACTATAGATTAGGCAAGCCCAGACACACAACTGCCCTATAAGGAGACTCCTGACCCCACAGGTGACAGCACATTCCACAACCCTGAGAACAGCACCCACCAATGGAAAACCTCCAGATCTGTACTCTATATGTCCAATCAGTTCAAAATTATGTCGGCGCGCACGGGCTCCTTAAACCAACCAAAAATGTAACTTCAGAATCCCCCTCCTCCCTTTGTCTAAAACTTATAAAAGACTAAACTCTCCCTTACTCCGGGCTCTCAGCACGGATCCGCTGCATTGGTGAGGTCTGAGAGCCCGAGCTTAAGCCCGAATAAACCATAAACCCTTGCTTTTGCATTTTGGTGTGTTGGGTCCTCGGTGGTCTTTTTGGGGTCCAGTGGACGAGGTATAACATCCTCACCTGCTGTCTGGTAGGACTTCCCCTGCCTTCAGCATCAGCTAGACCTTGTACCTCAGCCTTCCTGCCCTCTAGCTTGCTAGTTGTGGAGCCAAACCTTGATAATAAATGTTCGTACTACACACTCCTATTGGTTCTGCTTCTTGGGGGACCTTGTCTCATGTGTGTGGCCTTCAGTGAACCCTGCCAAGGAAGCCTGTTATCAGGTCTCATCTCCTCTGTGCCACCACTGCTACCTGGTGGGCCTCTGTCTCCTCAACACAGTGATACAAGGTCTTTTATCCCAGCTAAAGACCTCTCAGAGCCCTCAGGGATCCCTTCCCAGAGAGATAAGCCTTAAGGGACCTCCCAGGACCTGTGACCCCAGCCTGAACACCAAGCCTGCTGCCCTGTGCTCCCCATCTGTCTGGCCCCATCTAACCCTCTAGTCATGCTCAAGGCCACAGGACCTTTGCAACAACCTTCATGGTCCATCAGAAGTCCAGAGCCCATGCAGGCTCCCCTTGTAGCCAGCCTCCCTCCACACTTCCTCATGCTTCTCAGGGCTCCCCAGCTTCCAGCAGCTGCAGATTGGTCATTGTGCACTTATTTTTTGCCTCTCCTTGTCCCCCAGGGGGAAGTCCATGGTCTCAGAGGTTTGATTTGTACATTCTGATGTGTTCCAGCCAAGAGTGAATTATGGAGGGTCAAGGAGTGAACTGCAGATTCAGTCTTTCCCCATCACTGCCTCCACATTTGACCTCTCTACTTGTCCTAGGTCTTCATCCATGTGTGGAAACTCAAGTTGACTTTGAGGCAAATGGAGCAGCTGCTGGTTGGGAAGTAGGTTGGCTTGTCCCCAGGCTCATCTCTCTGTGGCTCTATACTACTGGTGGTCAGCTGTGCTCATACCCTCAGCTTCTGAACCAAGTTTCTGTGTGGACACTCAGGTATTTCCCATCAGTATGACGTTCATCTGTTGGGTTTGAGACATCTGAGTACATAAGACAGCAGTAGGTAAGTTTGTAGAACACCCATGTGTCTTGTCAGGACTCTGCATAGATCCTATGGGTTATTTTCAGGCTGACTGTTCAAGCATCATTTTACTAGAGGCTGCCTTAAGCTTCCTCTCTGAGTGGGGCAGGTCTGAGGCTGGCCTATCTGTTGGCATCTTCACTGCTTTACCAGGAGATCCTCTCCTGATAGAGGCCTGCTCATGACCTCAGAAGGCCCAGCTTCCACACTTCATGCTGGAAAACAAAAGTCGGGGTCAGGGCAGAGAACAGAACAAGGGAGCAGCTCCTCCTAGATTGCAGGACCCAGGACTGTGGAATGCAGAGGAGAGAACTCTAGGTTTAATGGAGACACAAACACTTCATATCTCCTCAGGTCTCACCATCCTGTCTGAGAGCTTGAGACTGGTGATCACTCAGAAGCAAGACCAGACTCTTAGGCCCAATCTCAAGTAGCAGCCCCATAGCCCCCACCTACCTCCTCCAAGGCTGCCTTTTCTCAATCTTGCATTCCAGACAGGGTGACAGTCCTGCCCACACAGGCGGCATCCCTGCACCTATTCCTGTCACCCAGCTATCCACCTGGCTATTGTAACTGCTGCCCTCTGGTTGTTATGTCTCTACCAGCCTCCTCTAAGGACTGATCAGGGTCTTAGAGGACCCTGACTAGTGTACCCTGGGAGGTCACATCACCCAGGGAAGCTGCTCTTTATTCCTCATGGTGAGCTCAGTTCACAGACTCTGAGGACATGTCAGTGCTGCCAGGGTCTTGGAGCAGTCACTGCTCTCCATGGTCCCCTTCCTCTAAGATCCTACTTCTCAATTCATATCGTCCACCTTGGGAGTGAGCCTTGATGCTCTTCTTGCCCTACTCTGCAAACTGAGGAGTGCAGGCACAGAGCCATAGGAGGAGCTATGATTCATATCTCGGCTGTAGGCTCAGGTGAATTCCAGACTCTTGCCTGGGGCAAGGTGATTTCTCTCATGACCTTGAAACTCTCAGGACTGTGAGGGGACCCAGCTTGAGAAGCCCTAGGTCCTTCTAAAGCCTCTTCTCCACCTGACTCATATGAAGCTGGAAAGTGGCCTCTCAGAGGCACCCTGCTGCTGCTTCCCTGTGGGCACTGTGGTCACCACACTCCCCTGGGACTGAGGGTTTCCTACTGCTAGTCCTTTGTCCTTAGTCTTCAGAGCTGACACTGGCCTGGGACTCCAGGAAGATCTCTCAGTGAGAGATATTCTTTAACACACAGGAAGGAGACTGAGACCCAGAGAGAGCATGGCAAGGTGATAGTTTCAGATTAGGGACTATCCTGATTATCCTGACCCCCTTCCTGCCCAGGAAGCCAAGTCACACTCCTGTGGGGTCCTACACCAATAGGCAGCAATTCATCCCATCTCAGGGGAGATGCCCTGGACTCCTTGACACTGAAATTGCTCCATTACATGAAGTAACAAGGTTCTTGGGTCTCAGCAGGATCTACCCCAAGACCTAAATCACACCTGAGGCTTTCTCTCTAGAATGTTCTTTGATAACTATGGAACCCACCCTCCACCTTTCCTTTAGCATATATTTCAGTTGTGTCCTTCCCAGTGGCCGGGGCATCTAAAGAAAAGGAGAGATTGAGTGATGTACAGTCCAATCAAAAAAAAAGTAATCTTCATTTAATATCAAATCCAAGACTCTCATCACTGGGGCTTCTAAGGTTGCCAGACCAGCCACACACAGAGAAAGGCACCAAGAAACTCACATGGGGAAGTCGGGAAAGTTTATTCATACCAGCAGACTCAAGTGGAGTTACCGCCCAAAGAACTCGAGCACTGAGTTGAGTCTCTTCACATTGTTTATAGGTCACCTGCATTTTTATAGCATTAGTGAGTAGACATCCTACTTGATTATTAGCACAGGTGTTTAGTGTTCTAATACAACTGAAAGGAAATTCCTTCTGTTTGCGTGTTTGCAGAGGCATATGTTTAGGGCAGTTTAAGGTTGGGTTTTTGGTTTGGTTTTTGTTTGTTTGTTTTGAGGCAGGGTCTCCCTGTAGCCCTGACTGTCTCAGAACTCACTAGGTAGACCAGGCTGGCCTGGAACTCACCAGAGATCCACCTGCATCAACTTCCCAAATGCTGGGAATAAAGGCATGTGCCACCATGCCTAGCTTTAAGATATTTTAAAAAACATTTTATCTATGTGTTTATTTTATTTTATGTGTTTGAGTGTATTACCTGCAAGTATGTAAGTGCACCCGTGTTGTGCAATGCCCATAGACATCAAAAGATGGTGTTGGGTTACCCTGGAGCTGTAGTTATGGACAGTTGTTAGCTAATACATGGGTGCTAGAAATTGAATCCGGGTCCTTGCAAGAGCAGCCAGTGCTCTTAACCACTGAGTCATCTTTCCAGACCCTTTAAGGTATTTTTAAACAGAGTTTTATTACAGGCGCTTTAGCAAACAAGGTAGTTGCAAACAGATGTTCCACTAAATAACTGTGGCATTTATTTCTTGAGATTGCTTTCTCCATTTTAGTGTTATTTCCCTTTTCAACACAAATTTTAGTAAGCACTTATAAAACGCTCAAGGTGAGTACTATATTCTAAAGTATAAAATCAGACATAAAGCAATGTTAGACACACGTGAAAGTGACATTAAGTGCATGGCTGCATTTCTTTTCCCTATCAATAACACAAAGGAAGGCGCTATTCAGTCTTCCACTGAGCTACATCACCAGCCCTCGTCTTGGATAATCATGACTGTGTTGAGTGAGTTCTACCTGAAGACAGAAAACAGACTCTTAGAGACCCAGTTGAGGCTAAAACTGGGCCCAGAAGAACTCCAAGCATCAGTGCCTCAGTCTTCAGGCTCTGGAAAACCAAGAGAAGATATAGCAGAGGACACAGCTTTGCATTTCATACATAGAATATTCGCTGAACATGTCTGGTGCTGTTTTGTGTTACTGCTGTTGTAGGACACTGCTGCCAGGAGGACAGAACATTCCAGGCTCAGAGACAATCATCAAGCCCCCGTCCTACTGCCACAAACTTCATTTGAAGATGTTAGGCTTTGCGGGGGCTGAAATCTAGTTATAGGTCTAGCAGCAAAGGGCTGGTGGGAGTGAGCACAGAGATGCTTCATGTCCAGTACCCAGCATGGCCACTGCTCAGAGGAAGCCAGAATGACCTTGGCATTACAGAGTGAATTTTTCCCAACAGACATGGGGTATAGTTAATCTTGATTATCACTTTGATTGGATTGACTTTGTTTTGTTTTTTCACAGGATTTCCCTAGTCCCAACCCACCTGGAACTCACTATGTGAACCAGGCTGGCCTTGATCTTACAGAGAGCTACCCACCTCTGCCTCACAAGGATTGGGATTAAAGGTATGTGCCACCTTGCCGAAAGTTTGATTGAACTGAGAACACCTAGGAAATTGGTAAGATGCACCTCTGGGTACATTTCCAGGGAAGATGAAAAGGGGGTGGGGGAATGTGTGCAGCACCATCCCATAGATTGGCAGCCTGGTGGAATCAAAGCAAAAAGAGAAAGCACACATTAGAAGCAGTCGGGTCAAGCGCTCTCTCTCTCTCTCTCTCTCTCTCCCTCCCCCATCCTGTGTGTGTGTGTGTGTGTGTGTGTGTGTATGCGCGCATGTGCGTGCATGCCCATCCTGGCTGCTGTGATGCAAGCTGCTCTGTGCTCAAGTCCCTACCACCATTATGCACTGAAACCTCTGAAACTGTGGCCCGAAGTGGATCTTTCTTCCCTTGTTATGTCTCTCAGGCATTTGCCACGGAATGAAACGTCTGATTAACAGAAGTGAGACGGTCACCATCACTGGGGTGGAAAACTCCCTCTAACTTGTAAGGAGACTCATGACTTAGTGGTTTCATGACCAGCTTCATCATTCTTCCTACGGGTCCACATCCTCAGTACAGGACCCCATTCTTTCCCACCCACAGGGTGAGACGCTGGGTTTCATTTTCTGCAATCTCTGCCCTGGGCTACAGGAGATTAGGGTCTCCTCAGAGCACACCGAGAAGCTCTTAGATCATACATACACTAATTTTTTTTGAGATATCTTGATGGTGGCACAGAATGGCTTTGAGTTTATGGTCTTCTTGTCTCTACCTCCCAACATACATATCTTTGTTTCTAAATTTTTTTATTTTTATTTTTTGGTCTTTTTGAGACAGGGTCTCCCTGTAGCCCCAGCTGGCCTGGAACTTGCTATGTAGACCAGGCTGGCCTTGAACTCACAGAGATCCTCCTGCCTCTGCCTCTTGAGTGCTGGGATTAAAGGTGTGTGCCACCATGCCTGGCTGGGTTTGTTTTGTTTTTTTAATTTAATATATGTATTTCTTATGTGTCTATATGTATGTATGTGGACATGTGTATGCCACCTGGTGTATGTGGAGGTCAGAGGATAACTTGAGAAGTCTATTCTCTCCTTCCACCACTTGGATCCCTGAGATCAAACTCAAGTCCTCCGCCTTGGCAGCAAGCACCTTTTACCCACTATGCCATCTTACTGACTCCCAACAGATACTTTTTGAGCTAGAAATTAAAATCTCGAGTACATTCATATTTGTACCACTTTCTACAGCAACACTGACCAATCTTACTACATACATTAGTTTTCCAAAAATGTTTTACAGTGTCATCTACACAGGTACTCTCCTAGATAGATACAATTCAACATGATAGAACCTGGAGTTATCTGAGGGAATCTCAGCTGGGGGTCTGCCCTATGGACATCTCATGTGACTTGGAGGCCAGGGCAACCAGTGACTTGGGTAAGGAAATGGTTCAGCAGACAGATGCCTGATGGAGAGTGCCTTGAATGATGACATCCTGGGGCTTCCCTTCCCATCCTCCCAGAGGCTCAAGGGAATCTAGCGGGGGTCAAAAGTGAAGCTGCCCAACCTCCACCCCACATTCCTGCCCCTCTTCCCAGCCATTCCTCCTCCTGCTCCACCCTTCCCTTCTCCCTAGGCAGATCCTCCCTTTAGGTCTCACCATCCCCACCCAGGAGCCTAGCTTGTCGGCAGCGTTTCCCACCAGAAAGAATGTGGTGGGTGGTCTGAGCTCAGTCAGACTATGGCTACAACCCTCCCTCCATTCTCTTACAGGACTGGGTCACAGAGCTATGGTCCCTGGATCCAGATGTTCATTCTTCGTATGTCCCTGTACAACGGGGACCCATCCTGAGGAATTGTATGAGCCAACCCAAACGGAGAAGGGCATGGTCAGAGGGTTGGGAGAAGGCTGGCTGGATGGGAGGAGAAAGTAAGGCCAACTCTTCAGAGCCTCCTCTAACCTGGATTTTCTTAGACTGCTGAGAATTGGTACTGCCCTACCATGGTTCTGTCTGGCTTAGAAGAGGTGGGAAACTTCCTTCCCATGCTGGGCCCTGTGACCTCGCACTGTGCATCTAACCCAGGTCCCCAGGATTTGATATCCAAAGGTGACCCCAGGAAGGGGTGGTTGCTGGCGGGCACTGGACACCCAACACAACTCTCCAGTCACCCTCTTCTGGTCATGGTCAAAGCTTTCAAATGTCTAAAGTGGGGAAACAGGCTGGCGCATGGCCCTGTGAATTGTCTGAGTAATGTAGGTGAAGACCTAGGACATTCTTAGAAGAAAAGGTAGGACAGGATTTTGGGAAAGATCATCACCAGGGCCGGAATGTTGCAGAGTATCAAGCCAGGCTCTTTGACAAAACAAATCTGCAAAATTGTGAAGGAGAAAGAAATTCAAGCTAGTTATTGCCAAGTTTAGACAGTATTAAGTTGTGTAGGGAAGAAGTGATTGATAGACATGTTGTCACAGAAAGCACTGGACCAATGGGAAGACTCCAGCCAAGGGTCCTGAGGGAAGTGGCACTCAGCCATGTAGTGCAAGTGAGGCTGGGCAAAGTGTTCCCATAACCTGTTACGGCGAGTTTATTGTTAAGCCAGACCAGGCATCGCTACTCCAACATTACTACTTTGCACTTTGCAATGAAAATGTGTCTTGTGGGGACACTGAAACTGTTTCTTCATCAAGCTTTGCCCATAGCCTTAGCTTAGCTGGCAAGTCCTCCCAGAACACTTATCAGAGTAGATGTCCATTAGGGACTTCCTAATTTATCCCGGCGCACTGACCAGCTAGAGTTTGGCAAGTGTGTGAGTCAGCTTTCTCTTACTCCGTAAAATATGCAGAATAGTCAGCTTATGAAGAAAGTTTACTTTGACTCACAGTTCTAGAGGTGCCAGTGCCAGTCCATGATCCACTGATGCCATTGCTTTGACTATGTGGTAGCACATCATGGTAGAGAGAACTTGGCAGAACATAATCACTCACCTTATGGTTGAGAAGTGAAAAAAAAAGTAAGAGGAAAGGATGAGGGTGTAGCTTAGTGACAGAGTGATCACCTAGCATGCACAAGGCCCTAAGATCCATCCCAAGTACTGAAAAAATAAATGAAAGACAATGGGGGCTTGGGATACAGATCAGTTGGTAGAGTGCTTTTGTAGTGGACAAGGCCCTGGGCTTGATGCTCAGCAACACATAAACTGGGCTGGTGGCATAAGTCCCAGTACACACATCTAATCCCAGTGCCTAGCTGGTAGAAGCAGGAGAAGCAGAAATAACATGAGACTCTATCTCAAGACAGAGATGGGGGAAATTGGGGAAGGAGAGAGAAATGAGGAGGATGACGAGGAGGAAGAGGACGAGGAGGATGAGGAGGACAAAGAGGACGGGGAAGGAGAAAGAGGGCTCATCCCAGTGACCAAGTACCTCCCACAAGGCCCCACCTCATGAAGGTCTAACCACCTCCCAGTGCCTCTGACACATGGGCATTTCAGAGACAGTCTGGACCCAAACTACAGCAATGGCTAGCAAAGTCCTGTCATACTTTAATTTGCTCGCCTCTAGTTTCAATGGGGTCAATAATATTTTGTGTCATACTTAGAAACAGTCCCTGTTCACATTTGTCCTATGAGGTAGGAATCTAGAGTTGCCTTTGGCCAGTGGCTGCTCTGTCATCCCAGAGGGGCTCTGCTCACCACAGCTCTGAGCTGCCCTTGGTTGTGTACATCTGTGTCTGTCACTAGGTTTCTTGCCTGAGCCAAGTGTTGTGCCCCCCAAGCTCCATCCATACTCTGAGGCCTGCCTGCCGTGTGTTTGTTTCTCAGAGTGATTTTAGCACCAAATTGTCTCACTCTGTAGAGACCTGAGGGTATTTTTATTGGAACTGTTTGACCTACAAATTGTCAAAGGAGACCTGGTCTATTTATTTAGTTACGTTATCCTGTCTAAGGACAGAGGATTCTCTCCATCTGTCCAGCCCACTCCCCATGCCTTCACACAGGCGGCACACTCTTCCCACATGGCTTTTACATGTTCCTTCCTGTGAGTCTGTCACTGCTGTGAGGGGGCTTTCTCCACCTCATACCTCATACCTCCACTATGGGTCATATAAGAACTATTGATTTTCTCTCAAAGCTAGCTAGCTTGCTTGCTTTTTTCCTATGGTGCTAGAGATAAAAACCTAGGGCTTCATGATGTTAAGCAAGTGCTCTACCACTGAACAATATCCTCAGTCAAAAACATACTTTTTAATACATAGTCTCCCTATGTAGCCCTGACTAGCTTGGAACTCGCTATGTAGAACAGACTGGCCTCAAACTCAGAGAGATCCAACTTGCCTATCTCCTGAGTGCTGGGATTAAAGCTAAGTAGCCATCATACCCAGCCCAAAACATAGTTTTAAAAAACTTGCTGGTTGCTAGGCATGGTGGCGCATGTCCTTAATCCTAGCACTTGGGAGGCAGAGGTAGGCAGATCTTTGTGAGTTCAAGGCCAGCCTGGTCTACATAGTGAGTTCCAGGACATCTAGGGCTACAAAGGAGACCCTGTCTCAAAAAAAGACAAAACAAAAAACAAAACAAACAAACAAAAAATGTGCTGGGATTATAAGACAGAATTGATACTAAGAAACTGGTATTCTGTTATAACAAATATTTAAAAATTGGGAATGGATGGAAGAGTTTTGAGGTGCATGCTAGGAAAAGCCTACACTGTTATGGGCAGGCAATTCTGGGGAATGCTTAAAAGAGGAGGGAGCTGGGATGTGACTCGGTGGCAGAGTACTTGCTTAGTATGTACAAAGCTCTGGTTCCATTTGTAGGACACCAAGAAAGAAGGAGGGAGAGAAGGAGGGAGAGGAGTGTTGTAGAGAAAGCCCCAATTTCTTTAGAAAACTCCCAAGTGCTCATGGACAGAATGTTGGTAGAAGTATGGTTGATAAATGCCATGATGATGAGCTCTCAAACAGAAATGTGGCCTGCCTGTTACTGGAAAGACAGGTGGTCCTGGTTATAAAGTGGCAGAGCACTTGGCTGAACCAAGTATGGGTTCTTTGGTCTGCGGAGGGTGGAAGGGTCTGTCTGTGTTGGGGATTGGGTTCACTTCATTATCCCTTACCATCCTATTTATTGCATTAACAACTCTGTAGATAAATCCGTTACCTTGGGCCAGGCATGGTGGCGCGCACCTTTATTCCCAGCACTCGGGAGGCAGAGGCAGGGGAATCGCTGTGAGTTCAAGGTCAGCCTGGTCCACATAGTGAGTTCAGGTCAGCTGGGACTACAGGGAGACCCTGTCTTAAAAAGGCAAAAATAAAAATCTGTTACCTTAATTGAGGGCAAAAAGTGAAGAACTGTGAGTGTCACCGGAGGGAGTAGCTATGACCGCATCGCCTGCCTCTTCCTGTTCCATCTCCACTTCCACCCCTCATCCTGCATGAATGAGCAAGTCCTGCAGGTTATTTTCTGTGGTGGCCATTTGTGCCCTATCCACCACCTCCCCAACTGGGCTCGCATGCTGTGAATGGAGCAAACCTCCTTCAGCAGCCTCCTCCCCCAGTTCAACACCTCCTGGCCTCGCCTGCTCACCTCCCACGTGTATGCCAAGGTCCTGGCCCCGGCTCTGATGAAGTCCAAGCCCAAGGTAGGGGACAGGCCCTGTCTTGCTCTTAAGCATTTCAGAATCAGAGTCCCATTACAAGCAGGATTTAGGAGGCAAAATGGTTTCAAGGGTCTGACTTGATTTTCAAGGCCCGGGGAAAAGGACATGAAGGGCAGGTGGACAGAAATTCCAGCAGCATCAGACCAAGACTAGAGTTGAGGCATTGCCTACACAGCAGGAATTCTCTGCCACGCCAGGAGTTCAGTCAAGCCAGAATGAGAAGGTCAGGTGTGTCCAGCAGGTCAGTTCATCATTGTCCAGGAGAAGTGAAAGCCAGAGTCGCCCATCTTGACCTGGTGGTCAGCTCTGGGGAAGAGAGAGCCCATCATACTTGGGAGGGAAGGAGCCAAAGAAACCCAAATACACTTTGCAGAGACAGATCTGTGCCACTTCCCCCAGCAGTGTCCAAGCCACTGGGAGATGGGTGGACTCTGTACAGGTAAGGCCCACTCATCCAGTGGGTTATTTGTGGCCATGGGCTCCCAGGAATCTGAGAGAATGAATGATAATGACCCTTCCGAGTCCTTGGCCTGGCCTTCCTGTCTCAGGCAGCTCAGAGCAGAGCCTTTGCTTGCTACTTATTAAACCTGCTCATTGGGGGGAATGGCAAGAATATTCAGCAGTTAAAGGCACTTAGCACCAGGCCTGATGACCCGAGTTCAATCCTTGGGACCAACAGGTTGTCTTCTGACCTCCACATGTGCACATGGTACATGTGCTCTCCCCAATAAATGAATTAACTATTTAAAATGTAATAAAACCCTGTGCTCCCAGGGATGCCCATTCACCAGCCATTCAGGACTCTGCTGCTGCTCAGTGAACCAGGTCTTCCCTATGCCTGGCACCCACCTCACCATGTAGTATTTGGGGCCCCAAACCAGCATGGTGCAACTCTTCCCACACCTTTCCTAGACAGGAGTTGGGGTCCAGGGTTCAGTTACTGTGGATCAGAGCAGCTGGGGAAAGCCCTGAACTTCGGAGCGCTGGGATTCAGGACTCTGTCCACCAGGTGGTGTACATGGCACGGAACCCCAAGGATGTGCTGGTTTCTTTCTACCACTTCCACCGAATAGCCGGCTTCCTGCCCAACCCCAGCTCTTTTGAGGACTTTGTGGATGAGTTTCTCAAGGGCACAGGTAGGTCTCAGGGACTGAGCTGTCTCTTGCCCCCCGCACCTTCTTGTCACCTGGCTGGTGGGCAGTTTCCTTGTTCCAGCCAACCCTGAGGTCACTGCTACTCCTGAGCCCCAGCGCATGCAGCTGTCACTCTGACACCTTCCCTTCTCTTCCTTCCCTAGGCTTCTTTGGCTCCTGGTTTGACCATGTGAAGGGGTGGCTGGGCCTCCAGAAAGACCTGGATTTGCTTTTTGTCACCTATGAGGAGCTGCACAAGGTGAGCACCCCTTCCACACAGTTCACAGGCCACCTGTAGCCAAGTCCTCCTCTGTCGAAGGCCTGGGGCACTC